AATGAGATGTGTCACACAGGCTTTTTGTGATAACAGGGAGATGAAGTCAAGGCCCCTGCCCATGCTAAACAAACACCCTAACCACTGAGCCACACTCCCCAGCCTATATCACATAACATCCTTACGCTCAACAAAGGTGTGGATTGGCCTATCATCCAGCTGGTAGAGTGCTTGCTTAGTATGCATGATGCCCTAGGTTTGAATGTCAGGACTGCACAAATGAGGCACGGCAGTGTACACCACTCAGTACTCAGAGGGGGAGGCAGGAGGATCAGGAGTTCAAGGTCATCCTTGGCTATACACTGAGTTAGAGGCCAGCCTGGAATACCTGAGACCCTGCCAGTAAATACATACATAAATGAGTAGGTGTTGATATTTGTTTGCGTACTGTGTGTGTGGTGGGGGCCAGAGGTTCCTCTCTCGGGTCATTCCTCAGTTCTCCGCTCCGTTTTTGAGTCAAAGTCCAGTTTTTGGAGAAGAACGGAAGTTGCAGCCTTTTGTGAAGTGCTTGAGTTTAGAATGGTCATTCCCACACTTTGCGGCTGGTACCGCCAGCTCTCCTCCACATCTGGGAAAAACCACAGTCAGGAGGATCAAATGCCTGAGCCAAAGGTCACAGAGCCAGAACTGCCTGCCTGCATTGGGCCTCACCTCCAGGTTGACCCCATCCCTCCTTCATCCCAACTCTCCTCCCCCAAGCCCCACCGAAGCACTTTCCAAGGCTGCCTCAAGTGAGTCCTGTGGCTAATTTACCCTTTTCTGGCTTCCTGCCAGAGGTCAGAGCGTCACACTTGAAAGACTTCCTCCAGCCCCGCAAGTCATCACTCGGGAGGGTTCTGCCTGAATTAGAAGCAGGAACCATTTCCTACATGCTGCCGAAGGGCGTGGGATGAACCGGGGCAGCGTTCCAGAGCCTTACCGTGTGTTCCTTCCACCTGCCCATGCCACGGAAGGAAACCCGCAAGCGTGCAGTGTGCAGAAATGCACGGACAGCTTCGCTACACAGAAACACCAGATAGAGCGACGTTCCCACTGCTGCGGTACCGGTGGTCGTTAGCCATCCTAACTGAGAGGCCGGCGACAGGGCTCAGTGGGCAGAGGCGCCTGCTGCAGGGCTGACGGTGGCCATCTGGGGGTCTTACATTTTTGGTTGTGAGCCTGGCCTTTAACGGCTGAGCCATCTCTCCAGCCCATCCAGGGGTCTTAATTGGGTTAAAGAATTAAAAGGCAGGAAAAATCAGGTAGCGTCAGAGAAATCTTGAACACAGACAGAAGCAGACAGACCTGGCATGGAAAGGCTTTCTTTAGGGGTGAGGAAACTCACACACAGCGGGCACACAGAGCAGGCTCAGGAAGCCGCGTGCAGCTTCTTGAGGGCTGGAATTTTAAGGTCTTTGAAGGGCTTTCCTCCCTATTTTGGGTTGATCAGTTTGAAGACAGACAGGAAGGCTGATTGGCCACAGCTCTTGTGTAAACATGTCCTAGTCAGTCTTCTAAACTAGCAAGGCCTTTGCTTCTGGGGGTTTTGTTGTTGCTGGTTTTTTTGTTTGTTCTTGTTTTTTATTTTTTTTTATTTATTTTTTATTTTATTTTATTTTATTTTTTTTTTGGTTTTTCGAGACAGGGTTTCTCTGTGTAGCTTTGCGCCTTTCCTGGAACTCACTTGGTAGCCCAGGCTGGCCTCGAACTCACAAAGATCCGCCTGCCTCTGCCTCCCGAGTGCTGGGATTAAAGGCGTGCGCCACCACCGCCCGGCAATTTTTTGTTTTTTGAGATAAGGTTTCTCTGTGTAGCCCTGGCTGTCCTGGAATTCTCTCTGTAGACCAGGCTGGCCTTGAAGTCAGAGATCTGCCTGCCTCTGCCTCCCAAGTGCTGGGATTAAAGGTGGGAGCCACCACTGCCCAGCTAAGGCTTTTGTTTTAAACTGCCAGGTTTGTCTCAGTGGGGTGAGGAAGAAGGCAGCCATCTTTAGATTTCACGGCCCCTCTCGCTATCCGTCTGCCTATTAGAGAATCTCCCCCCCCCCCCAAGACAGGGTTTCTCTGTGTAACAGCCTGGCTGTCCTGGAACTTGCTTTGTAGCCCAGGCTGGCCTCAAACTCACAGAGATCCGCTTGGCTCTGCCTCCCGAGTGCTGGGATTAAAGGCGTGCGCCACCACTGCCCGGCTGGGAAACAATTTTAAAATATGTAACAGGGACTGGAGACGTGTTTCTGCAGGTGATGCGGATGTTGCACAAATGTCAGACCGGAATTCAATCCTCAGAACACATAAAGGGCCAGGTGCCGTGGTGTGTGACCTGGTGTGCTGGGGAGGCAGAGATAGGCAGATCTTGGAGTTCTCTGACCGGCCAGCCTTGCCTAATTGACGTACCCCAGATAGCAGAGACCCCATCCCAAGAAACATAGTGGATGACTCCTGAGGAATGACACCTGAGGCTGACCCTTACACAAAAACACTCATGAACTCATATACATACACACACAGTGTACATATAAACACATGTACATGCACACATACAACAAAGTGTTAACACAGGTTAGGGGTATAGCTTGGTAGAGTGCTTGTCTAGCATCCCTGGTCCCCAACAATAAAAGATAATGGAAGTTTTACTTTGTAGTCTAAACTGCCCTCAAACCCTGCTCAGCCTGTTGCAGGCTGAGATTATGGGCACAGTCCAGCAGTCTGCTTTACAGTGTCATTGATGGATACAGTAAGGTATACCAGGATAGCCTCAAATAACCACGGAAAAGACATTCCAATCCATAAGTCCTAAGGTGTGATAGTGAATGTTGACTGTAAACTTAACGGGATTTACTTATTTTTTAGATTGATTTATTTTCTTGTATGTGTCTGACTGTTCTGCCTGCGTGTGTATATTTGGTATCTGCATCACATACATGTCTGGTTTTCACAGAAGTCAGAAGAGGTTGTCATATCCCCTGGAACTGGAGTTGTGAATGGATGTGATCATCACAGAGTGCTGGGAATTGAACCCAGGTCCCATGGAAGAACAATAAGTGTTCTTAACCTCTGAGCCATCTCTCCAGCTCCAACTTGACTCCAGCTGTAGAATCACCATGGAAACAAACATCTGGCTTGTCTGTGAAGGAAGGTTCATTGAGGAAGAAGGCTAGCCCTAACTGTCCGAAGCATCGCTAGGGCTCTGAGCTGAATTAGAAGCTGAGAGCAAGCTGAGCACTAGCAAGCACTCTCGGCTCTCTGCCCTCTCACTGAGGACTGAGTGTGACCAGCTCAGCTGCCCTGTGCTCCCCATCTCGAGGCTCACAAACTGCCCAAATGAGCCCTTCCTCCCTCCCTCCCTCCCCCCTCCCTCCTTCCATCCGTTGTCAGTTGTTTCCTTGCAGCAGTGAGACTTGGCTAAGACACTAGGGACAGGTGAATTGAGGCGGCAGTGAGACTCCAGACCTAGGGGAGTAAAGGTAGAAAAAGATGGATAACATCAAGTACTAGGAAGGATGTAGTGCCTGGAATTTGCATCGCTCTTGGTGGGGGTCATAAAATGGCAAAAATTATGCTAGAAAGTAACTGGAGGCTGGCCAGATGGCTCAGAGATAAAGGTGTTTGCACTGAAGCCGGCTGACCTGAGTTAGATCCCAAGGACCCACACATTGAAGAAAGGGAATTCCCAAAAGTTGTCCCTGCGATCTCCACACATCCACCTTAGCATGAACAAGTGCTCCTGAGCGCGCGCGCACACACACACACACACACACACACACACACACACACACAAGTAAATGTCAATTTATTTATTTTTGGTTTTTCAAGACAAGTTTTCTCTGTGTAGCCTTGACTGTCTTGGTGAACTCACTCTGTAGGCCAGGCTGGGCTTGAACTCGGAGATTCACCTGCCTCTGCCTGCCTAGTGATGGGATTAAAGGTGTGCACCACCACTACTGCCCTGCCTGGCTTTACTTATTTTTGAGACAAGGTCTGTCTGTATAAGCCCGGCTGGCTTAGATTCACAGAGATCCTCCTGCCTCTGCCTTCCTAGTGCGATGGTGTGCTCCCTTAATCTCAACTCAGGAGGCAGAGGCAGGCAGATCTCTGTGAGTTGAAGGCCAGCCTGGGCTACAGAGTGAGTTCCAGGAAAGGCACAAAGCTACACAGAGAAACCATGCCGGGAAAAGAAAAATAAATAAATAAATAAAATCTTTAAAAAACAAAACAGAACTACTTTGAGCCCATCATGGTGGTGCATACCTTTAATCCCAGCACTGGGGGAGCAGAGGCAGGCGGATCTCTGTGAGTTCGAGGCCAGCCTGGGCTACACTCAGAGTCAAGACCAGTCAGGACTAAATAGTGAGACTCTGTCTTTTTGTTCATTTGTTTTCCTTTTTGGGACAGGATTTCTCTGTGTAGCCCTGTTGATGAGACCCATTTTTGAAGCGGGCGGGGGACAGAGAAACTCTGTCTTGAAAAATAGCAACAGTAGTAATGATAATAAATTAGATGCCAAGTTGGGAAGCTGCGGCAGGAGAATTATTGTAAATTTGAAGTCAGCTCGTGCTACATAATGAGTTCGGGGCCAGTCTGGGTTACAACGTGAGACCGATCTCTTCAAACAAAACAGACAACACCATGAGTCTCAGTATGTGCAGTTCAGTTTCTGGGGGTGAGGTGCGTGTATGTGTGTTTTCTGGGAAATGGGATCAAAGGTAAGGAGGCCTTTTTTCTTTCAACTTTCCTGCTTCTGTGTGATTTTTTTTTTTTTTTAAGAAAAAACCCAGACATCTGCATTTATTTGTGTAATAAGTAAAGCAATTCCATTTTTGCAAGAGGAAAAGAACCGAGCGCTCTGAGCAGATCCTGGCCCCGCTGACCTCACAGAGGCTCCTCTCTGGTGGCTGCGGCCTTCTGACCGGAGACTGGGACATGACACAGACTCAACGGCTTCCTGTGCTGGCCCGCGTGTCCCAGGCGCTCCGTGATAGTGACGGGAGTGGCCACAGATGCTTCCCGGAAGACTCAGGGTCAGGCCTGAAGCATCACTAAGTCACTGGTGCCGGCCCCGGCTGTGCTGGCGGCCACAGCGCCCGGGGTTTCCTCTGCAGACGCAGGCCAGGGCAGTGGGAAATGCACAGGTTTGCCTGGAGCGGAAGCCGGGGGAGGGGGCGGGGGAGGGCGAGGATGGGGGGGGGGGGGGGGCGGCCCCCTCACGCTTAGCTTCACCATCTGGGGCTAGTGAGAATGCTCAGTCAGTAAAGTGCATGCCTTGTAAGAGTGAAGGCCTGGCTTCAGATCCCCAGAACTCGGGTAAAAATGGAAGCGCATGGTGGCCGCAGCCCTGCAAATCCCAGCTGGGGAGAGGGGAAGTGGAGATGGGTGGATCCCTGGAAGCTCCTGGGAAGGTGGCCTGGCCTATGTGGCAAAGTTCCCACCAATGAGAGACCCAGTCTCAAACAAAAGATAAAGGTTGCCTGAGGATTTGATAGCTCAGATCGTCCTCTGCCCTCCACCGGGAACAAGCGGTCCCCACACAGAAAGGGGAGGGGACGGCTACTCGGGGAAAGGGGTGGTTGGAGGAAAATGGGGCCCGCCACGCCCCCTAGGCGTGGGGAAACAAGACCCAGGAAACCAGTCTTGGTACCTGCTTTCTCCTCCGCTTTTCTGGGCGTATGTCTACTACTGGTTGCATGTGCTGAGAGAGACTTCCTCAGAAGTCAGGTGTGGTGGCCCATGCTTGTAAACCAAGCACTGGCTATGCTGAGGCAGAAAGATTGGCATGAGTTCCAGGCCAGCCTGGGCTACATAGTAAGACTCTGTCTAAAGGGGCTGAGGGATGACTCAGGAGTTAAGAGCACTGGCTGCTCTTACCGAGGATCCGGGTTTGGTTTCCAGCACCCACGTGGAGGCTCACAACCATCTAACTCCACCCAAGTACCTACATACATCCACTCATGTAGCTTTCCTACTAGTCTTTTTTTTTTTTTTTTTAAAGGCAAGTGCTTTTTAAAAAAGATTTATTTTTATTTTAAATTTTATTTATTTTTATTTCATGTGCCTTGGTGTTTGGGGGTTACAGACGTAGTGATCTTCCATGTGGGTGCTGGGAATTGAACCCTGGTCCTCTGGGAGAGCAGCTGTTGCTCTTAACTGCTGAGCCATCTCTCCAGCCCCGATTTATTTTTATTTTATGTGCACTGGTGTTTTGCCTGCATGGGTATCTATCTAGATGAGGGTGCCAGATCCCTTGGAACTGGAGTTACAGGTGAGCTGCCATGTGGGTGCTGGGACTTGAACCGAGGTCCTCTGGAAGAACAGCTCTTAACTGCTGAGCCAACTGTCCAGCCCCTCTACTATCCTAATAATCAAGACGTATTCTTTTTCCACCTGAGGGATTTACTGGTTCCTCTAGACCCTGAAAGTATTCATAGCCAAAGAATGACAGCTCACGTCTTCCCTGTCTTCCCTGCCTTGTAGTATCTTCTATGATGAAGTCCTTCATGTCTGCCCAGAATATCCACTACCCAGTGCTTGCTCCACCAGGCTCAGGAGAAAACAAACGAACTGCTGTTGCTTTCAAACAACTCGGTAGGCCTTCCCTCTGGGGGTCGGTGAGGATAACCCTACCCCAACAAGCAGTACAGACGCTGATCACCGTGTGTGCCATGGAGCCTGGGCCAGGGCGATTCCCATCCTCACTCATCCACGCTGCTCCAAAGAGTGTGGATGTGGTGAGCACACCATAGGGTCACCAGGTTTTAACCACCAGGTTCCTGAGCCGGGGAGACCACAGGGAGGGCGGCCGGTCAGGGAGCTCAGCGGGCCAGACCCCTCCCATCCCATGTCTGGAAGGCACTCAGCCTTCAGAGCCTTTACTTGGAACTCTCAGGTAGTATTCTTTTTTTTTTTTGTAGCATAAATATTTATTTGTAACAAAGGAGTTTGTGTACAGTGTTGGAAATCCACAACTTCTTGTTAAATTCACATTTGCATTTCTTCTTTTTAAAAAACATTTATAATAATCATTATTTTATACAGATATAGATATGTAAATATAACATCGAGTTCAGTTATCCTTCAGCATTTTCCACTTAAATGTTTTTTTAACATAAAAACAGGTTATAATTCCAAAGTCCAGAGTTATTTGAAAATGGAAAATATTTTCTCTGTAGATAATAATAAAAATGATAACATTTCCCAATAAGCCCCTTTAAGACAAATATTAGTTGAATTATGCATATAAATATTGATTAGATTCTGGGATACAGAAGAAACCTATCTTCTGTTTAGAGAGCTATGTTTGATTTATGGCAGACATTTTTCTATAGCTAATCCATAATCTAAAAAGATTTTAGCCTCCCCTCCTGAAAGTACAGCCAGCATATCCTTTCATCAGCTTGATATGGTTCAAATTCTTATCCTAATAGTGAAATGTTTCACTAAAGCATGCCCAGTGATTGGGCAAAACCAAAACTTATAATAAGCCACAGTCATCCTGCCAGGTAGTCTCCCTGGATCTGTGGGTTGCAGTCTGATTATTCTTTGCTTTATATCTAGAATCCACTTATGAGTGAGTACATACCATGTTTGTCCTTCTGAGTCTGGGTTACCGCTCTCAGGATGATATTTTCTAGTTCCATCCATATGTCTGCAAATTTCATGCTGTCATTGTTTTTCTCTGAGTAGTACTCCATTGTGCATATGTACCACATTTTCTTAATCCATTCTTCAGTTGATGGGCATCTAGGTTGTTTCCAGGTTCTTGCTATTATGAATAGTGCTGCTATGAACATAGTTGAGCATGTATCTTTGTGGTATGATTGAACATTCCTTGGGTATAGCCCAAGAGTGGTATGGCTGGGTTTTGAGGTAGATCATTTCTGAGAAATCAGGTAGTATTCTTTGTAGCTAGAGTTTTCCTGCCTGGCCCACAGTCAGGACAAATCTCTGTCACCCGACAGTCCCACAGCCGCTCAGACTCAACCAAGTAAACACAGAGACTTATATTGCTTACAAACTATATGGCCATGGCAGGCTTCTTGCTAACTGTTCTTATAGCTTAAATTAACCCATTTCTATAAATCTATACCTTGCCACGTGGCTGGTGGCTTACCGGAGTCTTTACATGCTGCTTGTCCTGGCGGTGGCTGCAGTGTCTCTCCTCCTTCTTCCTGTTCCCCCAATTCTCCTCTCTCTTTGTCCCGCCTATACTTCCTGCCTGGTCACTGGCCATCAGTGTTTTATTTATATAGAGTGATATCCACAGCAATTCTTAGCCTCATTTTACTTATTCATTTTGGGACAGGATCTCATTGTGCAGCCCTGGCTGTCCTGGAGCTCACTATGTGGACTAGGGTGGCCTTGAACTCACAGAGATCCCCCTGCCTCTGCCACTTTAGGGCTGGGATTAAAGACATGAGCCACCACAACAGGCTTCTAGTCCCACTTTACTGACAGGGAAACTAAGGTGCAGACATTCAGTGAGTTGTTTAGTGGATGGAGGCAGGGTTCAGCCCTGTTCCATCCTGTTACTGTCTGATGGGCTACTTGTGCCTGATGCAATTCCAGATACTGGGATATAGATATGGGTCTTGAGCTGGGGGGGATGTGGCTTGGTTAGTATTCTTAGAGCCCTAGGCTTGAATCTCAGCACCAGAATCCACTGGGTGCAGTGGTACATACTGTCAATGCCGGAAGGTACTGATGCTGAGTCTAAGAATGGCAAAAGGAACCGGCAAAGCGTGGAGACACCAGGTAACAGAACGGCATATACAGTGTGTCCTGGATGACATAGCATTTTGCCAAAGGTCACCAGGGTACTGGTGACAGGGCAAGATAAGAGCCCAACCCTGGACTCTGTGACCCTGTTCCACCTTCTTCATTACCAATCACAGGTGAATGTCTACAGCCTTCTTGGAGGTAGCAAGACAACCACTCTGGGGAAGGACTCAAAAAGACATTGGATCCCAAGTGTCCGGAAGGACATAACCTCTAGGTGTTGTCTGCAGGAGTCATGCATGAGTCAGGGGAAGATGCCAGTCTGATGGAGGAAGGGGACGGCACGCAGATGCTGTCAGAGGCTGGCTCCCTCCAAAGGCTTGTGTGGGACATTCCCAGCTTCTCTAACAGTTGAGGCAATGCCGGGATTTTGACATGCTTTCGGCTTAACCACTTGGAGAGATTCTTGACAAGCACCATCAGTTTCTGGACTTGAATGGCAGTAGCCAGATCTATAGCCAGGAGAGAGTGGACTGGACTCTCACCAAACAGGACTGCCAAGAGGCTGCTCACTAACCTGTCTAGCAAACGTAACCGTAAGTGGGGCGGGGAGCGGGAAACACCTGTGTCCTCTGCCTTCTGGGCTGAGCTGGTTCTGCCCCCTAGAGGGAACCTCAGATGTTCAAGCCCTTTGGCCGAGAGGTTCTGCCTCCAGAAATTACCCCAGATGATTACACCAACGTGTAAGGGCATGAGAAGCTCACCACACGTGACCCGAGAGAGCAAAAGCCTGTAACACCTACTATCCCCATGGAACCTTCGAGTCCCAGTGTGAATGCCCGCATGTGGGAAGGCTATGGAGCCCTGAACAGCCTTTCCAACCAGGAGCAGCCTCTTGGAGTCCCTGATAAAAACAAAAGTGTGTTTTTTTTTTTTTCTTTTTTATTGGGGGGAGGGTGTAGAAAAGAAAGCAGCCCCTATACTGGGCCCTATTCAGTGGCAGCTTCTTGTTCCATAGGGTTAAGGAAGACTTTGAGGAAATAAAAGTTGTTTGGAAAAATCCAGGTGTAGTTGCTTTGTATGCTGTGATGGGTAGGAGAGATGAAGTGAAGGGCGCAGGCCCCTCACACCCTCCATCTTGCCTCAGACTATGTCCTGGAACCCTGGGGCGGAGAAAGCGCCACTTTCACTCCTGCTTCTTGGGATTGTTGACTGCCACGTAGTGGTAGAGCACCACCAGCAAGAAGAGCGACACGCCCAGCATGTTGGCGAAGATGGCGAGCTGCACAAAAGTGTGTTTTGTGTAATCCCATCTTTGTTTTTTTTTTTAAAATAACAGAAATCAACAATGTTTCATTGTTGTTATTTTGTTTTTGTGGCTTCTTCCTTCCATTTTTTGTTTGTTTGTTTTTTAGACAAGATCTCACTGTGTACCTATTGCTGGCCTGGAACTCTCTGTGTAGACCAGGCTGGCCTTGAATTCATGAGATCTCCCTGCATCTGCCTCCTGAATACTAGGATTAAAGTTATACATACCGTGCCCATTATTCTTCAAGTATGTGTGTCTTATGCATGTTTTTGCATACGTGTGTACGTCTGAAATAGAAAAAAAATCCATCCTAAAATTCTCAAGGGACCCCAAGAACCAACCCCATGGTTAATCTTGAAGAACAAAGCTAGAGAACAGCATCTCCTGGTTTCAAAACTTTATAAAGCTGGGAGGTGGTGGCGCACGCCTTTAATCTCAGCACTCGGGAGGCAGAGCCAGGCAGATCTCTGTGAGTTCAAGTCCAGCCTGCGCTAGAGAGCGAGATCTACAAAGAGAAACCCTGTCTCGGAAACAAACATACAAACAAACAAAAAACTTTATTCAGTGCTGGAGAGATCCTGTAATTCTTGCTTGATAACTGTTTTATTATATATAATTTTACTATGTTCAAGTTAAAACCTTCCTTTTTGATTAAATAGAAAAGGGGAAGTGCTGTGAGATGGTCTTTCTGTACGCTGTGACTATATGTTGTTCCCACTGGTTAATAAATAAGCTGCTTTGGCTTACTGCAAGGCAGCTTAGAGGCAGGTGGGAAATCCAAGCAGAGATACAGGAAAGAGAAAGACAGGATAAGAAAGACGCTAGCCCACCGCCCAAGGAGCAACAAGATGCCAGCAGATTGGTAACGCCACGGCCTTGTGTCAACATATAGATTAATAGAAATGGGTTAATTTCAGATGAAAGAGCTAGTTGGCAAGAAGCCTGAGCCATAGACTATACAGTTTGTAATTAATATAAGCCTCTGTATGTTTACTTGGGACTGAGCAGCTGTGGAACCGGGTAGGACACAGGAAAACTTCCATCTACATCTGGTGGTTCAGTGGTTAGGAGCACTTCCTGGTCAGGAGGACCTGAGTTTGGTTCCCAGCACCCATTTTGGGTGGCTCACAACCACCTGTAACTCCAGGTTCAGAGGATTCAAGTCCTCTTCTGGCCTCCATGGGCTCCCACACACTACATTCATTCACACAGACATATACACATACATACCAGCTTTTGTTTCGTTTTTAAGGGTGGGTGTGTGGGACTAGAGAGATGGTTCAGTGGTTAAGAATACTGTTTCTCCCAGAGGACCCAGGTTCAATTCCTAGCATCCACATGGTGGTTCCCAACCATGTGTAACTCCAGTTCCAGGGAATCTGATGCCCATTTCTGCCCTCTGAGGGCAGAATACACCATACACACACATGGTATACATATGTGTAGGCAAAACATTCATATACATAAAAAGAAAATGAAAATAGAAACAGAAACAATCTGACTACAAAACTCAGCAACCAAGAAAGTGACCAGGTTTAAAGACAGACAGAACAATGCAAGGAACTCAGAGCTTAGCAGCCAGGCCGCACGCATGTGGTCACGTGATTTTTAGCAAGGTTGGCAAGATCACACAGGAGGAAAAAACAGTCCTTCAACGAGTGGTACTGTGAAATAATTTATGTTTAACACTGGTTACAAACATTAAATCAAAGTGGATCAAAACCTCAATGCAAGACCTTAAAACTATAAAACTCTCAGAAGAAAAGGGCAACAGCCTCGTGACATTGGATTTGGCAATGCTCTCCTGGCTACAACATCAAAGGCAGCAAAAGAAGAGACAGATTGAACCCCATGAACATTTCTGAAATCATGCATTAACAAAACAGTATCTATGGGGGCTGGAGAGATGCGTCCTGACTAAGAAAGAGCACTTGCTGCTCTTGCAGATGACCCAGGTGTAGTTCCCAGCACATAGGTTACAGTCTCACAGCCAGCTGTAACTCCAGCTAGCCTCTAAGGCTGAGAGAGCATCTGTACACACACACACACACACACACACACACACACACACACACACACACAACCAAGATAAATCTTTTTGGAAGTTCAGTATCAATAGTAAAAACACAGACCCTTAGAATTAGTAAAACCTGCTACAAATTGTACACCCAGGGCTTAGGATGTAGCTCAGTGGTAGAGCACTCGGCTTGCACACACGAGTTCCTGAGTTTGATCTCCAGCATTAAAACAGTAAGGATGTCTCAGCAATTTAGAGCATCTGTCACTCTTGCAGAAGATCAGGGTTCAATTCCCAGGGCTCACACGGTGGTTCACAACCTGTAATTCTAGTTCCAGGGGATCTGACGTCCTCTTCTCACTTTCAAGGGACCAGGCATGGAAGCAGTTCACATAGATACATTCAGGGAAAACATCCATACCCATAAATAAAGTAAATATATGAAAAATTCTTAAGTAAAAATATTTAAAAAGGGTGCACTCAAAATTTGAACATGACCTGATGGTGCAGACCTGTAATCCCAACCACTCAGGAGGCTGAGGCTGGAAGACAAAACCTCCAAGCCTGGTCTCAAGAGCAAAACAGGCCTGAAGATAGAGCTAAGTGCTAAGTGGCCGTGGGCTCAGTGCACAAAGCCCTGCATTCTAGGCCCAGCTCCACATAAACCAACATGGTGCCATAGTGGATGCTCCTGTAATCCCAGCATGTAGGAGGTGGAGGAAGGTAGATCAGGAATTCAAGGTCATGGTGATTTTGAGGCTAGCCTAGACTACATAAGAACTGGTCTCAAGGTGGGGTGTGGTGATGCACCCCTTTAATCCTAGCACTGGGGAGGCAGAGGCAGACGAATCTTGTGAGCTTGGGGCCAGCCTGGTCTACAAAGCAAGTCCCAGGACAGCCAGGGCTGTTACACAAAGAAATCCTATCTTGAAAAACCAAAAACCAAACCAAACCAAAACAAAACTTGTCTCAAGACAAAACCCCTAGAAAATAGCAAATACTGATGGTGACAAACACCACAGCGGCTGAGGGGAATACTATGGTCGTCCCTCAACACATGAAAAATAGAATTACCTACATGACCCAGCAATTCTACTCCTGAGGAGATACTTGCACCCCTCCCCCACATCCCCAGCAGCATCATTCACACTAGGTCACATGCGGAGGCAACTCCAGTGTCCATTACCAGATGAATGGGCAAGGGAGATGTGTTATACACAACAGAACGTTATCCAGCCTTGGAAAGGCAGGACACCAGGACCTGTGCTAGGACATGGACGGGCTTGAAAACATGTTAAGTGAAAGAAGCCAGGAACAGAGAGCAAACAACGGCATGGGTCCTTTCTGATGAGCTGCTCAGAGGAGATAAACCACAGAAACGGGGTATGAAACAGTGTCATCAGGCCTGGTGGGGAGCAGAGGTGGGAGCTAGTGTGTAATACATGGTTTCAGTATTTATTTATTTTTTCTTCTGAGACAGTTTCTCTGTGTAGTTTTGGTGCTTGTCCTGACTCTCGCTCTGTAGATCAGGCTGGCCTTGAACTCACAGAGATCTGCCTGGCTCTGTCTCCTGAGTGCTGGGATTAAAGGCGTGCACCCCCCCTCCCCCACCCCCCCACCCCCCGGCAGTTTTAGGATTTTTATTTTTTACATTTATTTTATTTATTTGTGGGTGTGTATTCATTTATGCATGTGTGGAGTCAGAGGACAGCTTTTGGGAGTCAGTTCTTTCTTTCTCCCAGGTGGGTCCTGGGGACTGATCTTAGGCCAAGGGGTTCAGTGGTAAGTGGCTTCCCCCTCTGAAGTCACATCTCCACCCACACAGTCTGTCTTTCTGGCTTTGTTAGGGATCACACAGGGCATGTTGGGCAAATGCTCTCTCGCCATGTTAATATACTACATGGCTCTGGTCAAAAGTTCAGGCTGGGATTGGAACTTTCTGGATCTGAAGTCAGCTCCATTAAGGACTCCCCAGGCAGGATGGTCATGCTGCCTCCAAGCCTCAGTCTCCTCATCTGTGGCAGGAGAACTACCGCATGGGATGGCCGTGAGAAGTGGGGGGGCTTCCATGCAGGAATCCCAGGCTAACCTCCGGGCAGCATCCTAAATGCAATGACGCTGAGCAGGGGAAGAGAAGGGGGCCTGCCCATCACAAACTGGGTGTTTCTGCCTAGTCCGCTGCAGCAGCCACAGACTATTTTAACGTGGAAGCTTACTCTTGCCCTCTCGGGGCTGTGGGGCTCCTGACTCTCGGCTTAACAATTACCGTTAATGTCCCAGGCTCAGTTGCCCACTTCCTCATCTATCCAATGGTCACTTTCTGGCCCCTGCTCTACAGGCCCTAGGCTGGCAGCAGGTAAAGCCTCACTGGGCCTTTATTCCTCCTGTGAAATGGGGAAGATGAGGGTAGCTTTGGAAGGATGTAGCTGGCATTACAGCAGATCTTAATTATTCCAGGACACAGTGCTCTCAGGCTGAGGCCAAAACACAGAAGTTATTGCCACTGTTTCCAACAAATGCAGTGGGGAATATCAAGACCCTTAAATTAAAGCAGGTGCCCAACACCATGCCGCCTTAGGACTGTATCACTAAGGTAGTCTCTCTTTGGGTCTCTCTTGCCATGACAAACCTTAGGGCCTGTGGTTCACCTTTCTCTCCCAGTGCCTACAGCAGCACCTAGCACACACAGTGAGGACTCCATTTTTTACATTTTAATTTATTTCTTATTATGTATACGGGCATTTTGCCTGCAGGTATATCTGTGCACCATGTGTATGCTGTGTCTGTGGAAGCCTGAAGAGGGTGTTTGATTCTCCTGGAACTGGAGTTGCAGCCAGCTGTGATCTCCCATGTGGGTGCTGGGAATTAAACCTGGTTCCCACTGGAAGAATACTCAGTGTTCCCAACCGCTGAGATGTCTCTCTAACGCTTTAATTCACTTCTCAGAAACACCTTCAAAACAAACACTAGGATGATTCATATTTTAGAGCTCCAAAATGGAAGCATAGAGAGGTTAAGCAACTTGCCCAAGCTTACTCAGTGGCAGACTCAGAGTCTGAAGCTGAGGTGACCTTTGCTAGCTGAATGAATGAGAGGACAAGGCTGGGCACAGAGTTTGGGGTCTCTGGGTCTGAGGGGTAGAATCAGAGCACAAGCCAACCCTGTCCAGCTGTCCACGGTTCCCCAAGTGGGGGCTGAAGTGTGGGAGGTAGCAGGACCCTAAGGTTAAGCAGAATATTAAAATCTAGGGTACCCAGATCCTAGGCTGTCGGGAAGCTGGGATTGATGGAAACCCCGACAGTGTAAGTTCCCTGCTGTCCCTGGGGAGGGCCAGAGGACTAGAGAGCACATTCTAAAGCACGGAGGGCGGGCTGCCTGAGCTCAGTTGGTAGAGGGCTTGCCTAGCGTGCCAAGCCTGGGGCTGCATCCTCAGCACCCTGTCAACCAGGTGCAGTGGCACACATCTGGAACAGGAGAGGGGTTGTCCGCTCAAGGTCATCTTTGGTTGTATATCAAGTTTCAGGCCAGCCTGGCATTTATAAACCCCTGTCTCAAATAACACAACACCAGTATTAGGCTGTTAGTAGCCAACATCTGAAGAGTGCTTCCTATTGCCAGGTAATTCACAAAGTCCTTTATATGTATTATAGAATGCCGAGGGTATATTCTACATTATAGACTGTGTAAGTACTTTGTCAGATCCACAAGGCTAGTAGGACCATAAAGTCAAAAACTGAAGCTCAGGAATACCACACCTGGCTCTAGGTTCCAGAGCTGAAAGGCACAGAGGTTGCCAGTACGATCCTGATTCATGCCTGGGGCTCCCCTGTCCCATCCATCTCCTGCTGTTCCCATCTTCCCAGTGTTTCAGTGCTACATGCCACCACAAAGCTGCCAACATTTAAAAACAGTTGTAGTTTGAGGACTGTGACTAAGATTTAGCAAATATGCAGAGCTCAGCGAAGGTTGACGGGCCCTGGGTGTGCAAGACTCTAAGGACAGGGCAGTGACCCTGGAGTGCTTCTCCATGGTAAGCACAGCCCTGACCACTGGGTGAAAGGTCCTGTCAGGTTATGTAAGCTCCACGCCTGCAGCCTGCATCTGGCCAGTGGGTGGGAGTTTAGAAAGATCCAGAAGACCCAGTCCAAGACGAGCAGGTGTCTTTGGCGAGGCCTAGCACTTGGCTAGACTGACCAAGAGAGACCTCAGCCAGCCTATCCCCCGCCACCCCACCTCCACTTCCTTGGCTTCTCAGTGTAGTGTTCTTCCCCTGATGCCTTATGTAACCGTGCAAAGAAGGTATCCTTATCTCCCTTCACAGGTGAGGACACTGAAGGAGAAACAGGTTAATGATTTCCCTGAGCCGTAGGACCAAGGAGTGGCAGGGCTGGTTTCTGAACCCAGGTCACACCTTGGTCAGAAAGGAGGCAGGTCCAGGAAATTGTGTACTTGTGCAGTGGTTTGAGACCCAGCAGCAGACAGAGAAAGGTGAAGGGGATAAACTTCTGAGTCCTATGGGAAGGCAAAGGCCACACGGATCCGGTGTGTGGGATCCGGTGTGTAGGCTTACCATCCTCTGCCTGATACCTTCCATGGTTCCCCATCACATAGATAAAAATGTAGCGTTGTTAATGTGGTCTTGTGGGATTGGGCCTGAATTCCTTGCTAGCTTGGCCCATCCCTCTGGAAGATTCTGTGCTCTTATACTTTTTTCCCTCCTAGTGTGGGCAGTTTCTCCTCTCCACCATGCTGCCTCCCCTGCCTGCCTTCTATCGCTTCCTCAGAGAAGCCTGCCTTGACTATCCACACTCCCCCAAGCCTCTCTGGTTCCCATGCTCTTGGCCCTGCTGCCCCACCAGTCACCAGACACACAATCATCCACCACGTGAGCCACGTCTGCCTGTATTTCTTTGCAGCCTAGCCCCAAAGCACGCGGTGAAGTACACTGGGGATGGATGGTGTGAGGGAACCAAAGGCTCGGCTGACCTCGGGAGGTGGGAAGGGAGTAAGGACTGAGACTGCTGGGCAGATCTGTAGGCTGTACAAAGAATGGCATCCCAGGAGAGGGGCCGGCCTGCCCTGGCCAGGAACATGGGCGAGCAGGGTCACTGCCCTGTGGTTGTTTGTAGCTGTAAGGGATGGCCTTCCAGAGCTGAAGCCCGGGTGTGGAAGGTGAAGCAGGCCCTGCCGCTGAAGGGAGAGATGAAACTGAAAACCTAGTTCCCCTTGGGAGGTAGAAGCAGGAGGATTGAGAGCTGGAGGTCAATCTGGGCTACATAAGTGAGTTCTGGGTCAGCCTGGGCTATGCAGTGAAACTGTCCCAAAACACACAGAGAAAACTCAGTTCCTCAGCTTTGCGAGCTCCACGTCAAGTGCTCATAACCACAGGTGTCTCACGGTTGCCACACCTGACAGCACAGACAGGGAGCCTTCCTGGCACCTCACAGAGTTCTGTGGAAGCAGACAGGCCTCAAAACCCCCTGAATTTCAATAATTAACAGGTGCAGCCCCGAGGATGAGGCCAGTCGGTAGAGTGCTTGCCTGTCATACATGAAGCCCTGGGTTTCATCCACAGCACCATGTAAAACTGGGCTTGGTGGCATATACCTGTAATTCCAGTGTCCACATGGATGTTAGACCTGGGTATGGCAACATATGTCTACAATTTCCAGCACTCAGGAAATGGACGCAGAAAGATCAGGAGTTCAAGGTTAGCCTCCTCCATGTAGAAAGTTTGGGGCCAGCTTGACCTATGGGTGAGACATTGTTTAAAAAAAATTAAGCAAACAAACAAAAAATTTAAAAAAAGAGAACAGGAGTAAGGCATGGTGGTGCACACCTTTAATCCCAGCACTGGGGAGGCAGAGCCAGGTGGATCTCTGTGAGTTTGAAACCAGCATGGTCTACATAATAAGTTCTAGACCAGTCAGGAACAAACAATGAGACACTACTATGAACAAAAACCAGGGGCCAGAGAGATGGCTCAATAATAGTTAAGAGCATTGGCTGTTCTTCCAGAGGACCTGGGTTCAATTCCCAGCACCTACATGGCATTTCATACCTGTTTGTAACTCCAGTCCCAGGGGATCCGACATCCTCACACAGGCATACATGTAGGCAAAACACCCATGTACATAAAATACAAATAAATAAATTATTTAAAAAACAACAAACAACAACAACAAAACCAGGACCGGAGAGCTGGCTCAGCAGGGAAAGGCACTTGCTGACAACCTGAGTTCAGTCCCTCACCCACATGACGGAAGGAGAACCGACTCCTGAAAGTTATCCTCTGACCTCACATGCGCGCTGTGGTGTGCTCCCACTCAGACAAATACACACACAAGTAAACAAATGCAACTAACAAGGTGGAAGTGAAGACCGAGGCTCCTTGGCTGGGTGTGGTGGTGCACGCCTTTGATCCCAGTATTTATAGGCAAAGGCAGGTGGATCTTTGAATTCAAGGCCAGCCTGGTCTAGTTGCAGGATAGGCAGGGCTACATAGTAAGACCTTGTCTAAAAAAAAAAAAAAACAAAAAAAAACAAAAAACCGAGCAAAAAACCCCTAGTCTCTTACTCTCAATCCAGTATACTCTCTGTTGAAGTCAAGGAACTCCTGTGTATTAGCTCAGGCTTGGTCAGAGGTCCCTGAGAACAAACAAAACTAAACCAAATCTATCAATGAAAGCAACACTTTAGTACATATATAACAGCAGCTGGTATTCATATTATATAATAAACCACTACAAATACATAAGAAACTATTACCTCTGTTTAGAAATAGACACCTCATAGAAGAAATACAAATAGCTTAAAAAATAGGAAAATATGCAGAATAAAGATAGGCAAGCAGAATAATACAGCTTTTCTTGCTTGTTTATTCCAACAGATTGAAAAAGATGGAAGAGATGTGGGATGTGCATGGTCTTGTACATTGGTGGGACATGTCAACAGCATTGTGTTCAGCCTTTTTTAGGAGGCAGCTTGGGGGCATCACAAACAAATGTGCACATCTGCAAACATCCTTTGACTCAGTAAGCCTTGGGCCTGACGCAGGACGGCTGACTCCAGTCTCGTGCTCTGAACCATGACTCCCCTGTGAGTGATGGTCAGGCCGGGGTTGGAAAGGGCAGAGTTGGCAGATTATCCCGAGAACTGTGGACTTGGCCGTGGGAGGCTTAAGCAGGATGGATTGCCGTGGGTGAGTTCTTTGGAGTCTTTATCTTCTTGTGTGGCTGGCTCAGATGGCAGCAAGGAGCCCAGGACAAATCAATATGTCCTTGGTCAGCTGCTTTGGTGGCTCTGTTGCCATTCCGGTTCTGCAAATAATCGGAGCCAGTCACCGGTGAATCAGCACTGCCTGCCCTTGGCACGCTGGGCCCGGAAGGCTGCTGTGTGAAGACGGACGTCTCTGTGCTGGGGGTCAAGTGACAGAGAGCCTGGGCCAGCTGGGTAGCTGCCCTCCAGGGTATTTGGACAAGTGACGTTTATATGCCTACCTTAGTTCCTTCTGGGTCTGGTTCTCTTTTGATCTTCTCACCCTCCGTTTCTTTCTTCCAGTTAATATGGCCAGGTGTTGTTCTAAGCCCCGGGCAGGGGAGAGTAAACGGGACCCTAGGCTCTCATTTTCAGTGCACGTGGGTGTTTGGTACCCGGAGGACACAGAGTCAGGGGCAGGCATTGTACCAGAAAGGGAAGGATGATGTGATGTGTGGATGCATGAGCTAGTGCTGGACACTGAGTGATGTTATCAGATGGGCAGTAAGGGAGGCAGGCAGAGGGTTGGAGCATTGCTTATAAAACACTCTAAACACCAGGCTAAGAACTTGGCTTTTTATCCAGAAACAGACAAAAATGTGAAGGACTTTTGTTTATAGTCTTTTTTGTTTGTTTGTTTGTTTGTTTGTTTTTTTTTTTTTTTTTTTGAGACAGGATTTCTCTGCAGCTTTGGAGCCTGTCCTGGAACTTGATCTGTAGACCAGGCTGGCCTCAAACTCACAGAGACCCATCTGTCTCTGCCTCCTGAGTGCTGGGGTTAAAGGCGTGCGCCACCACCGCCTGGCATATTCTTATAATTATATATTGTTAAATGGCAAAAGCTAATTCAGGTCTGGGGATGTAGCTCAGTGGCAGAGTGCTGGCTTAGCATATGGAGCCGGGGTTCCGTCCCCAGCACTGAATAAACTGCACATGGTGGGACATGCCTGGGAGGTAGGCAGGAAGCTCAGAAGTTCAAGGTCATCTTTGGCTACATAGCAAGTTTGAGGGCCGCTGACTCCGTACTGGATCAGGTCTCAAACAATAACAAATCTACCTCATTCTATTATGAAAATCAACAAGGGCCAGGAGTATTTTCTTTTAATGAACTCGCGTGTACGCGTGCATACATGCGCGCGCGCGTGTGTGCGCTCGTGTGTGTGTGTGTGTGTGTGTGTGTGTGTGTGTGTGTGTGTGTGGTGCTGGCGCTCAATCTCCCTGTGCAAATGCTAGGTAAGTGCTTTCCCACTGAGCCACACCCCCACCCAGAAGAGCCAGGAAGAGTGAGTCAAGCAAGCCTGTCTTTCCAAAGCTTCTCCTCAGATGGAAGCTTCTGGTGACAACCCTTGTGGGTGTATCCCTCCAAGATCCTTTTCTATGCTCACATAAACAGCTCTCATTTTTCTTCACAAAAACAAACTTATCCTTTACACATTGTTCTGTCAGAAATGTGGCCACCTTCCGCCTCAGCACACACCCGTCTCTCAGGAGCCCACTGATGTCGCCTGCCTTCACAGGACACTTCTTGAACTGAGTGCTGAGGATGGAGGCAGGGACCAAACCCAGTCCTGTCCTGGAGGTCTCTGCCTTCCTCCCAGCGTGTCCCTCTAGCACACAGCATGCAGGGCGGGCTTGTCTGTAGACAGAGCCTCACTATGGAGTGCTGGCAGGCCTGCGACCCATTATGTAACCAGGCTGCTTTGTGTACGTGCCTTCCTTCCCATGCACTGCGAGTATTATAGTCGGGCCATTTGTGAAAAGGAGTTTTGAGAGCTGGGTGTAGTGATACATGCTTGTAACCCCAGCACTTTGGATGCTGAGGCAGAAGGATTGCTATGAGTTTGAGGACACTGGGCTACATTGTAAGTACAAGGCCAGCCAGGGCTGCAGAGCGAGACCCCGTCTCAAACAAAAGGAATTCTGCACAAACATTTTTTTGATGTAGCGGTCCTGTTTGTTAGCTAGGCTGGCCTGGAACTCTTAGCTGGAGCATTTTCCCGCTTCAACCTCCACAATGACTAGAAGTATACACGTTAAATTGTGAAATTAAAAAAAATTATTACGTGTGTGTGTGTGTGTGTGTGTGTGTGTGTGTGTGTGTGTGTGGTGTCAGAGCACGCATACCATGGCGTGCTCTTGGAGGTCAGAGGACAGCTTTCAGGAGTTCGTCTCTTCTTCCACCATGGGCTCTGGGAACCAAACTCAGGTCATCAGTCTCCCACAGCAAGACCTTCTACCCACTGAACAGCCTCTCTAGCCCAGCGAGTCTTATCATTCTGTATGGTTGTGGTATAGTCACTCACCCAACCACCCACGCACCTGTCCACCCGTCCACCCACCCATCCATGTATGCACCCACTCCTGGATCTGTCCACTCTGTACCCATCCATCTGTATCTCCACATCCGCATCCATCTGGTCACAGTTTAGGGACTTGCCTCATGCAGCAGGCTTTGAACGGGGTAAGAGGACCCTGTGGGTGAAGTGTTGGACTGTGCAGTCCCTGCTATAATGAGACAGAGTTGGCAATAGCAACAGGAGGCTGCTGTGTGCTGGGGTGGGAGGTGGCCACACAGTAGATCCATGGCCGGAGGCAGTGTCCTAGTTAGCTTTCTATTGCTGTGATAAAGACCAAAAAATTGGGGGATGAAGGGGTTTATCTGGCTTATACTTCACCACTGAGGCAAGCCATGGCAAGAACTTGAGCAGAATGGGAATCTGGGGCAGAGACCATGGAGGAACACGGCTTACTGGCTTGCTTCCCATGGCTTCCTCAACCTGCTTCCTTCTGCAACCCAGGACCACCTGCCCAGGGGAGGCACCACCCACCTCAGTCATTCATCAAGAAACTGCCCTACAGACTTGTCCTCCCGCCAGACTGATGGAGGCATTTTCTCAATGGAGAAACTTGACACAGATGACTCTCGCCTGTGTCAAGTTAACCGAAAACTCACCAGACAGAAGGTGAAGATTCTCTAGGGTGCCCCTGCTTCCTCCGGTTACCCTTCTGTTCTGATAGCTGTGGTCACACTAAATTTCTTCATTCTTATCTACTCTTTCCCCATGCCTGACCCTTGCTGACCTTCACTTAATCTAATCAAGAACCTTGCAGGACTGGGCGGTGGTGACACACGCCTTTAATCCCAGCACTCGGGAGGCAGAGGCAGGCGGATCTCTGTGAGTTCGAGGCCAGCCTGGGCTACCAAGTGAGTTCCAGCAAAGACGCAAAGCTACACAGAGAAACCCTGTCTCGGGGAAAAAAAAAAAAAAAAAAAAAAAAAAGAACCTTGCAGAAGGCATTCAATCCAATTAAAAACACTGAGGATATTCAATGGGTGGGATGTCCTTCCTGGACTCTCTAGTTTTGACCAGGAATTTGAGTAACTTAAAGAAAATTATCAGGGGGCTGGAGAGATGGCTCAGTGGTTATGAGCACTGGCTGCTCTTCCAGAGGACCCAGGTTCAATTCTTAGCACCCACATGGCAGCTCACAACCACCTGTAGTTCCCATTTCAGGAGATTTGACATGCTCCTCTAGCCTCCTCAGGAACCAGCACGAATGTGGTGCACAGAAGCAGGTAAAATATATATACACATAAAAAAATAAAGACAAATGTAAAAATTGTATTTGGTAGTCACTTACAGAGGCACAACCATGCCCAACTGGCCCTTTTCTTCATATTATTTGTTCTCTAAGCATGCTTTTCCTAACACTTGGGGTTCACTGCTTGTCTAAAGTTCCCCGTTTCCGCCCTGAGGCGGGTAGGCCCTGTGGCTGACCTCCATGTCAGCCTAACTCAAGGCATGGCTTTCTCTCTCTCTCTCTGTCTTCCTCTTCCAGGCAGTTCTGAAGAGCTGTGTTTTGCCACTCCCAGTTTTCCTTTGAAAGTGTAATAGGACACCTTCCTGGAGTCAGTCTTGTTTCTCCAGGATAGGTTCTGGGACGCATCAAACTCAGGTCGTCAGGCTACGTGCAGCAAGGTCTCTACTGCTAAGCCGCCTCTCCAGCCCTTGCCGCCTCTCCAGCCCTTGCCGGGTGGTCGGCTGGCCGCACAACTGTCAGTGCTTCCTGTGAAGTAGGTCTGTCCCCTTTCTCGTCCCATCACTCTGTCTCTACCCACAGGACTGGCTCCAGCCTCCTGCCTCTGTCCCTGTGTCTTGCTCCATGGCCCTGGCCAGCCTGGGGGACTTGCTGTAGACCAGGATGGCCTCCAGTTTGCAGCAGTGCTCTGGCCTGGGTGCTGGGATGACAAAAGTGTGTCACTCTGTCAGGGTCCCCCTGCATCTACAGCAAAATTTAAACTTTAAGCCCTCAAGGGCCTTTGTAATTAGTGCCCCTCCTACTTCAGCCTTTCTTGGCGTCTTCTCATTCCATTCCAGTCACACAGAGTCCCCTAAATATGCAAATGTATGCCTCTGCCCCCAGTGCCTCATGTGCCTGCCTGGGTTCCCCGGATTTCTGAAGGCTTAGCTGAGATACCCCTCTAAGAGGCATGCTTTGGCCACTGCATCTGAGTCAGACCATGCGCTCAGACAATCTCCCTACATCTTTCCCCCGAGACTGCTTGTCTGAAATGGTACTTATTCATCTGGTCAAGGCGTTGGAGGAATGTGAACTGCTGCCAGGAGACTCCCATAGACCACTTGCTCAGATCCCTCATCCCTCTAGTCCTTCCTGGGTCTTTCATGGCACATTCTAGAAAAGTTGCAAGGAAAGAAACGCCAGCTTATAGGTAGAAAAGTTAAGGTATCTCCTTTGAGGTCCCTTCCCCCACCCCTTCTTTCTTTTGAAGATAGGACTGGCCTTGCTGGGATCCTCTAGGTCAGTCTCCCGAGTCCTGGGATTACAGGCGTGTATCACCACACGTGGAGCGCAGCCATCCTGGCAGGAGTGAGCTCTCCATCACCTACACTGCTTGCTCGTTATTTCACCCCAGCCTCATGTCAGTAGCCTAGTGACTTGGGAGGTCGCTGGATTTACTCATTCCTTTCCCCAACGGAACCACATTGAACAAACCTACTTTCCACTCTTGTCTTCGTTACCGGAGTACTGAGGACTGGCAGCCAAGCCTCTCTTGGAAGAAGCTCTTTAGCATTCTCTTCTGCGTATGCAAGTCTTCACCCAAGCTTGTGGACTACAAACTGCCAGCTTGAAGCCCCATCTCTAGCCACACAGCCAGTTTGAAGCCAACCTGGGCTAAAAACATAAAGATACCATGTCAAATTGTTGGCTTCAAAGCACACTGTCCTCACTATAAGGCATACCCCGCTGACATCGGCAGATCCTAAGCCTCAGTGTCACAAACTAAGCCCCATGCCAATGTACCAGCAGAGCCAGGATTGTTTGTTTTTTTACACAGGGTTTCTCTGTGTAGCCCTGGCTGTCTTGGAACTCCTCTGTAGACCAGGCTGGCCTCGAACTCATACAGATCCACCTGCCTCTGCCGCCTCACAAGTGCTAGGAGTAAAGGCCTGCACCACCACGCCCAGCCCAGAATTCTAACTAGGCTTGTCTCACATCAACTCTTGCACCCTGTCCTTGCACCACACTTTTTTCACCATCTGGGAAGTGAGGAGGGACACTTCCTGGGTCCTAGCCTTTAGACTGCACAGAGCTAAATGGAGCCACGTCTGGTAGCAAAGCTGACTGTTTCCTGTTGGAGTGGCCCAAGGCTACACACAGTTGAAACTGAGGCGACAGTTAGGCCTCCAGACATCCTTGGCTGATCTGGAAATCCCATTAGGGGCTCAGGCAGCCACAGGCTCTTCCCTTACGGAGCAGGCCTGGGGAGAATGGTTAAGAGTCCAGCCAAAGAATTTAAACCCTCTAGGCCAAGTCTGGTGTGGAAGTGCAAGCCTGTAATCCTAGGGCTTAATCGATGAAGGCAGGAGTATCATCTCTAGCCACACAGCCAGTTTGAAGCTAACCTGGGCTAAAAACATAAAGATACCATGTCAAAACCAAACCAAACCAAAAAGCCAAAGCCAGAGCTGGCAGGAGCTCCGCAGCTTGCTGCCAGGCCCGATGACCTAAGTTCCCTCTGATCTCTGGGACCCCACGGTAGGAGAGAAGCTAAGCTGTTCTCTGACCATCATAGGCACTGTGACACAGGTGCCCGTTCACAGAAATAAATGTAACTTACTTGGGCTCTATTTCCCCATCTGTAAAAAGAGACGCCCAGCTACATCAGGAGGACTGGATTGGTTCATTTTAGTCCAATCTGACTGGGTTTTCTACTTTATAGGACAATTAAGAGAGGCAAGACTGCCACCCATGCTACTGAAATGCAAGCTCAGAAATGGGGGTCTTCTTTTACATGTCCAAACATAGCAAGTCCAGCCGAGCATCTGCATCTTGAATGCCAATCAGCCCCACTCTTTTTAATCCTCCACAGTGAGGTCCTGCATGCCTTAGCTCCTGCCAGAATCAAAAATGGCCTCACTCACCCGTTCCCCATCACCTGAGGCCAGAACAAGGAAGTCACCACTATCTAGCTCAAAAGACCAGGTGGTGGCTCCCTCTTTACTCTGGTCTACAAGACTGTGCCAGATTCTACCCTGATCTTCCTTTCTCTCAAATTAGAATGCGTCCGGGGGTGCTCAAAACTTTCTGAGTACCACGCTGCTTGGCCAGCAGGCCTCTGGTGGCTGCCACTGTCCGTACCCTGACGTTGGGACTGCTTTGTGTCAGACTCTTCTTTGAGTTTTCTTCTCAATTCAAAAGCCAGATGCCTCCTCCGACCTCCCCACGTCTACCTGAGCTCTTCAGTTGACTGTAGCCCCCGGTCTGCTTGGAGGGGTAGAAGAGAAGCCCACCAGACTTCCCACTGGGCGCCTGCCTGAATCAGGGCAGAGCCCCTACACACTGGCGGACTGGATGAAAAGAAAACGCCGATAGCTTGGAGAGCACGAGGCTCCCCAAAGTGTCCTCTGCTTCCAGGGCAGTCAATCTAGCCCTAACTATCCTAGAAACCGAAGAACAAAAGCCTTAGATAACAGCTTGGAACGAGGCAAGCTGGGTCACAAGGCTGCAGGGCTCCACGGGATCTTCACACACGCCAGGGCAAACGGGAGTCACGTCCAGAGCGAGAACGACCCGCTCGGGTGTCAGGCCACCTCTCAGGGGGTCGTTTTCCTGAGGAATGGGGGGGCTCACTTCCTCCTCAGCCTGCTGCATTGCGGGACCCGCTCAGGTCTTGGCGGGACCCGGGCAGGCCGTTCCAGCCTTGGTTTCCAGATGGTTTCTCCTAGCCATTGTTTCTCCTTTCCTTGGGCTCGCGCGCGCTCTCCTCCCGTCCCTGCTTGCGCCGGCCCCCCACCCCGCGACCTCCCACCCCTCTCGGCCCGCTTCACCCCCACCCCCGCTCTTCCCAGGGAGGCGTGTCCAGCCCCGCTAGTGCACCAATCCGAGCGCCCCGAGCCGGCTCTGCCTCCGCGAGCCCTGCCCCACGCCACCGCCAGCCAATAGAAATTGGCGTCTGTACAGTCGGCCCGTCCAATCACAGATGGGCCGTGAGCCTCGAGCGCCCCGCCCCTGCCGCGCTTGGCCGCTGCTCCTCGGGCGGCCGCGCCGGGGCTTCGGCATTCTTCGAGCGGCGCCGAAGTGCGTCGGGCTCCGCCGGCTGCGTCCGGAGGTGCGGGCGCCGGCGCCGCTGTGTTCCTGGGGAACTGGACGAGGCAGAAGCTACCTGGCTGGATCGGAAGGCGCCTCGGGCCGGGCAGGGCAGGCGTGGCGCGGGTGCCAGGACTGAGCCGGAGGCCGACCGGCACACGTTCCCCGTCCGGCAGCACCTCCTGGAGAGGTCCCTGCGGAGCCGGGGCGGTCGCTGAGGTGGCTTCGGCTTCCCGGAGCCTCACCTGCGCAGGCCGCGGGGCGCCAGGTGCGGAGGCG